GAACGAAGTTACGGAAAGTTAATTAACAAACGGAGACGTAACAATATATTTATGCTCTTGATGGACAGGTGTCGTCCGTGTTAAGGCACGGAACGTGATGAATTATGTATGCTTAAATCAAATATTTAATTAAGCCTTTAAAAGTAAAGCGAGAGTAAATCAAATTACGTGTATTTATCTGCACTATATATTTGAAGTAACAAATGTCACGATTTACAAACGTTCTATTTTTGATATTAGTTACGTATTATTTACACGAGAACGAAGGTAGGATTTGTTCCACGGCTACATCTGTCCCTTAAATAAAACAACTGATTAAAGCAAGGTTTCGCCTTTGCGGATTCTTCAGGGCTAGTACATAAAATTATCTGATATTACAGTATTCGTTAAATTATTAAAACTGCTTGTAAATGCGTTTTTTTTTTCTCGAGTCTGCCGTAACGTGCTTTTAATAATGTTTAGAATATTATTCTAATATTACGGTATTACTTATGTAGATAATTTCAAAATGTTTTATGATTAGCTACAAAACAGATAGCGTATCACACAGTCTTATCTTACAATTTCATAGTGGCAATAACAAAATAAATAACCGGTTTCTTTCTTTCTTTTTGTCTAACACTGCTAGTAAATTCTAGATCCTCTAAACTTGATTCTTAGCGGCTTATATTTTTCGTCTATCTGTTTTGTAGTTAATCAAAGAACATTTTTAATTATCTTTATTTCATATAAGTAACATATGTCAAATGTTAGTATAGCAATACTATAATATTGATACAAAGTCAAACAATAATAATATTCTACATATTGTTATAAGAACGTTACGGTAAACTCGAGATATAGCGCAAATTCAAGCAGTTTTAATAATTTAACGAATGCTGTAATAGCAAATAGTTTTATGTACTAGCGACTAAAGAAGTCGCAAAGGCGAAACGTCGGTTGAAATAAAAGTTCTCTAATAATTATCTGGAGTGTAAAGTTTTTTTTTTCAAACTTTGCATTTTTATCAAAATGTGTAAATCCCTCCAGTAAGCACTACAAATTTGAAAGACAGCAAAAAATGACTAAAGAAAGACAAAAATATCAATGACCAGAGCAATATTGCTAGTAGCAGACTCTGTGTGATTAATACTGTTTTTTTAATGGTTAAAATTTACTGTTATTCTAAGAATTAGAAGTGCTATATATGTAAAAAATTATAAACTGTTACACATTTTGTGTGTGTGTGTTAAACTCAATATATGTTTTTCTTTGATAACATTTTAGAATCTGAGTTAGATCGTAATTATATTAGATCAGCAGTACTACGTTGTTTACAAAGTTAAGTTTTTGTTGTGATCTGTATAGATAGCTTGCTTTGATAAGAAGGTATTAATAATTTAATCAATTAATTTAGTGTTTTCTTTAATATCAATCAGTCATGAAATATTTTCGTTTACTTTATTTAGGTCTACGTTCTGATATCATGTAATAATCACTGGTTGTGTTGTAAAAATTAAGCCAATAATCTAAATGATATGATATATCTTTTTCTTGGTAATAATCTTATACATATTTTCTATTTTAAAACCGCTTGTAAAAGATACATTCAGTCTCTTGTATGTGGAATACTATTGTTTCAAAATCAAAACAGTTATGTTTAAATAGTTCAAACTATAAAATTCGTGATTGAAACCCTTTTCTTTAGATCTTCTGGAAAAAGCTCGTGTGATTTCACAGCAACCTGCCGAGCGGTCCTACCACATCTTCTATCAGCTCATGTCTGAGGGTCTCCCTGGGACTAGAGGTCAGTTAGGCCTAACATTTTACTAAGACATATATTGTATCATATCTTTTGTCCCCTAATGTCTGGAGTTATCACTAGGACTAAGTGATATATCAGTGTAGGTTCTTTAAGTTAGGCCTAATGTTTTACTTAAATACGTATTGTATCATTTCTTCTATCACTTCATATTTGAAATTATCGCTAGGACAAAGTTAGACATGAGTGTAGGTTCTTTAAGTTAGGCGTAATATTTTACTTAACTTAGTCCTAACGATAACTTCAGACATTAGGGGACAAAAGATATGATACAATATACATCTTAGTAAAATATTACGCCTACCTTAAAGAACCTACTCTCATGTCTAACTTAGTTCTAGCGATAACTTCAGACATTAGGGGACAAAAGATATGATACAATATACATCTTTATATCAGTGTAGGTTCTTTAAGTTAGGCCTAATGTTTTACTTAAATACGTATTGTATCATTTCTTCTATCACTTCATATTTATCGCTAGGACTAAGTTAGACATGAGAGTAGGTTCTTTAAGTTAGGCGTACTATTTTACTAAGATGTATATTGTATCATATCTTTTGTCCCCTAATGTCTGAAGTTATCGTTAGGACTAAGTTACATTTCAGTGTGGGTTCTTTAAGTTAGGCCTAATGTTTTACTTAAATATGTATTGTATCATTTCTTCTATCAATTCATGTTTGAAATTATCGCTAGGACTAAGTTAGGCATGAGAGTAGGTTCTTTAAGTTAGGCGTAATATTTTACTAAGATCTATATTTTAGCATATCTTTTGTCCTTTCATCTATGAAGTTATCACTAGGACTAGGTGTAGGTTCTTTAAGTTAGGCCTGATGTTTTACTCAATTTGTGTTATATATTATCTTCTATCACCTCCTGTTTGAGAGTATCCCTCGAATTAAATTAAGTGTACTGTTTTACATGATTTGTATTGTATCATTTCTCTTATTATCTCATATATGAGGTTTTCACAATGGGATTAAAGTTAGGCTTCTGTGTGTATTCCTTAAAACCTGATGTTTACTTAATTTTGTTTGTCCATACCTTTTATCACTTTATGTCTGAAGCCATTTTTAATTTTAGGATTAAAGGTCAATCAATATAAAATCATGTGAAACAATTCTTGAAAAGGTTAATTTTCTTTTCTTTTGATAAATATCAGCCTTTGATTGAAACAAAAAACAGCAGTTCAAATTTTTTCGGATGTATTTGTATCTGTGACTGATGAAATATTGTTTATTTATTTACAGAAAAGCTCGTACTGTCCGACGACATCTATGATTATCATTTCGTGTCTCAAGGAAAGACAGACATCCCCGGTGTTGATGACGGTGAAGAAATGCGTCTGACAGACGTGAGTATAATAAATTTCTGTTTTTGTGATGTAAATAATTATGCTTATATAGTTATAGTAGTGAAGCTGATTATCGTATTTAACGCTTTCTATATAGTGTACACAGTTTGTAGTTTTTATCAGAACAACCATGCAATTGTTTAAGCTATATTTCATGCAAAAGTGTTTCCAGATTTAATCTCATAGAGTTTGACACAGATTCAAACTCAGAAATGTGAAGCAGTTCAAAGTATTCTAAACACGGATTAGTTAACATTCAGAAACTGTATAGTCAGTATTGAAATAAGGGAAACATACCATGAGTATTGCACTCTGCAGCGTGGGTGTTATATAAAACATAAATAAAGGTCTAACATTTGTAATGATGTACATGATTCTATTTTCTATGTAGCACGCTTTTGATGTGTTGGGCTTCACTGATGAAGACAAATCCAACATCTTCAAAATAGTCGCTGCTGTCATGCACTTGGGTGAAATGAAATTCAAACAGAGACCCCGAGAAGAACAGGCTGAGGCTGACGGGACAGCGGAAGGTGAGCGAGTGGGACACCTGCTGGGTGTGAACCCTGCTGACCTTTACAAGAACTTTCTGAAACCTAAGATCAAAGTCGGCAACGAACTCGTTACTCAAGGCAGAAATAAGGACCAGGTAAGGAAACTATTATGAATAAGGACTTCTGAATGAAGGTAGACTAATATGTCAACCACACCATATCTGTTACGTTCACTGCCGACCAGGCCTTTCGTCTAGTACCAAGCCTCTTCAGACAGGCTGTATTTTGATAGATATAGTGGTGGTTGAAACGCTATTTTTATTAACAAATTGCTTGAACAACAACTCCTACGATGTGGACTGGACGTATAGTTTAATGAAGTGTACTTTATAACAGTTTTTCTTTATGTCACCATATCGGAATTAGGGTAAGGATTATTTTTATTTATATTAAGACAAAGCTTGCAAAAATCAGGCCATCTAATGAGGATTCGTCGAAAGACTTTCCACAGCTATATATATATATATATATGATGTAAACACATAAAGCTCCAGTTTTACGTCGCTTATCTAAATTAAAACAGGAAAATGGCCCTAACAAATGACATGAAATACTGTTATAATGTTTGTCTAAAGTTTTACCTTTTGGTTTCTTATAGTGTACATATTCTGTCGGCGCTATAGCCAAGGGTATGTACGACAAGCTGTTCAAGTGGTTGGTAAAGAAGGTCAACGAAACACTGGACACTAAACAGAAGAGACAACATTTCATTGGTGTACTGGACATTGCTGGATTTGAAATCTTTGATGTAAGTCTTAATAATATCACAGTAAACCGTTTTGAAGGAAATGAAATTATGCTTGTTTAATACTGGTGTAGTGTTTTGATTTTATATCCTTATTTATACGAGATCTTTACAGTGAACTTTTATGTAATTGTTTTACAAATTTGTAGATGTGTATTTTTGTTTTCTAGTTCAATGGCTTTGAACAACTGTGTATAAACTTTACAAATGAAAAACTACAGCAGTTTTTTAACCATCACATGTTCGTGTTGGAACAAGAAGAGTACAAGAGAGAAGGAATTGATTGGGAATTTATTGATTTTGGTCTGGATTTACAAGCTTGTATTGAACTTATCGAGAAGGTAAGAATTCGCAGTTACTCTCTTTTCCTAAAGTTAAGGACTTACTGTATAGTCATTGTTTCCCTTTTAATTGTTCTAACGTAAAGTTAAGGACTTATTGTATAGTCATTGTTTCCCTTTTAATTGTTCTAACGTAAAGTTAAGGACTTATTGTATAGTCATTGTTTCCCTTTTAATTGTTCTAACGTAAAGTTAAGGACTTACTGTATGGTCATTGTTTCCTTTTTAATTATTCTAACGTAAAGTTAAGGACTTACTGTATGGTCATTGTTTCCTTTTTAATTGTTTTAATTTAAAGTCAAGGGATTGTGCTATATTTATTAACCATGGGCTTCACAAAAATTAATTGAAATACTTACTTTTTTCTGTTTCACGGTAACACCATGGATAATCGCAGTTCGAACCCTTAGTTTGAAAATAGTAAATAATACTGACACAGATGATGTTCTCAACAACAAAAACCTCCATCTGATTTAGCCCCCCAGTGGCACAGCGGTATGTCTGGTGACTTACAACGCTAGAAACCGGGTTTCGATACCCGTGGTGGGCAGAGCACAGATAGCCCATTGTGTAGCTTTGTGCATAATTACAAACAAACCCATCTGATTTATAGCTGTCTTAAGCTTTACTACTCGTGATTTAAATAAATTATATGTTAAATATATAATCAGTTGCACACATTTCTGTACACGTTCTTGTGAACATGAATTAGTGGAAAAAGGAACGATATACAGTAGAATGCAGCTCATTCTGTGCCATAACTCTGTCTTCTAGCCCATGGGTGTCCTGTCCATCCTTGAAGAAGAATCTATGTTCCCCAAGGCAACCGATAAGACCTTCGAGGAGAAGCTGAAGAACAACCACCTGGGTAAATCTCCCAACTTTGTTAAGCCTAAACCTCCTAAGCCTGGTCAACAAGAAGCTCACTTCGCAATTGTCCACTACGCTGGCACAGTGAGTGTTAGATTTGTTTGTATTAGGCTAAAGTTACGCTGGCACAGTGAGTGTTAGATTTGTTTGTATTAGGCTAAAGTTACGCTGGCACAGTGAGTGTTAGATTTGTTTGTATTAGGCTAAAGTTGGAGAGAATTTGGCGTATCCTAATTTGTAGGCAACTTTTAATATAGTGTATTTGGACTGAATTTGAAAATGATATTAGAAAAGGCACGAAATTCGATCTAATACATAAAACAGTCAGCATTTAGATTCGTGAAATATCTCTTAGGTTCAGTTTAACTCTGCCCTCCCCCCAGTCAAAATGTTAATATGAATAACAACAATATTTTCTTATTTGACGTGAAGTTTAACATTAGGCTGATTACATTGAGTTGGCGTTATCAGTGTAGTGAAATATTCTTGAGTAACGTTAAGTATACTTGGATTAGTCGAATGTGACTTTAACAGCTGATAATCCTTTTGCTGAAACACGTGCTGTTTTTCAGGTACCACACAAAATAGGGACTTTAACAGTTGCTAAGCCTTTTGGTGAAACACGCGCTGCTTTTCAGGTACCATACAAAGAGTGACTTTAACAGTTGCTAAGCCTTTTGCTGAAACACGTGCTGTTTTTCAGGTACCATACAGAAAGTGACTTTAACAGCTGATAAGCCTGTTGCTGAAACACGTGCTGTTTTTCAGGTACCACACAAAAAGGGACTTTAACAGTTGCTAAGCCTTTTGGTAAAACACGCGCTGCTTTTCAGGTACCATACAAAGAGTGACTTTAACAGTTGCTAAGCCTTTTGCCGAAACACGTGCTGTTTTTCAGGTACCATACAACCTAACCCATTGGCTTGAGAAGAACAAGGACCCTCTCAATGACACTGTTGTCGACCAGTTCAAGCACGGCCAGAACCAGCTCGTGGTTGATGTTTTTGAGGATCATCCTGGACTTGGTGGTGGTGACCAAGGTGGCGGCGGCAAAGGTAAGATTTGTTTGATAGCTTCTAGTACACATACCATATAGTTTGTTTTAAATGCATTATATATTGACCGAGTTTAAAGTTCAAAGCAAATGTTGGTTGCTTAAAATATTGATCATTTTCACTCTACTATAATGAAGTTAAAGTTGTAGGTTATGAAGCGCTCCTGGGAAAGGTGTAAGGTGAAATATTTGGCAGTAAAAGATATATTATCATTATATCCAATAATAAATTTCAGTTAGCGTTAAAAAGTTAAGAATAAAACTAACGATGTTTTATTACAGGTTTTTTACATCTTTCATATCTATTAAAGAAATTTGATTTGAATTGTGAAGTTCGTAGCTTGATCAGATCAATTAGAAACTTGATTGCTCACACAACATGCATTGATTTGACTCTGTTCTTTAGGTCGTAAGAAAGGTTCTGGTTTCCAGACCGTGTCCGGCCTGTACAGGGTGAGTAGTAGTAATATGGCCATTAAGCCTGTCAGAGTGTTGTAATATAACAACTAATAATTGCGAATTAAAGTTCTGGTGTTAAACATTATGGATATAGTGAGGAGTTAAACGTGAAATAAAGTTCTGATGTTAAACATTATGGATATAGTGAGGAGTTAAACG